AAAGGGACCCAAGATATGTAGAATGGTTATTGAGTTGAGACGTCTAAATTCAATTCTTCCAGAAATGAAAGTGCGTTTAGAAGGGTTGGGTGGTCTGCTACGAACTATAGGCAGGGTTGGTATGTATTAACATGGGATCTGAAAGATGGCTACCACCATGTAATGATGAGAGAAAGTGCACAGCGGTTTTTGGGGTTCCAAGTATTGGGGAGCTGGTATTACTACAGAGTTCTCCCTTTTGGTCTGTCACAGGCGGTTTGGATATTTTCAAAAGTAATGAGGGCTTTGGTTGGTCATTGGAGATCACTAGGTCTATATTGTGGGAATTATTTAGACGATTTTTGGCTTGCACATCCTTCTCTAGAAACTCTATTATTGATAAGGGATACAGTAATAAAAGTAGATTTAGAAAGGTGTGATCTAACAAGAGAGTTGTCAAAGGGTCAATGGGAACCAACTCAATGTGTAAAGTTCTTTGGTCTAATAATAGATACAGTGAAGGTGCAAGTTATTATTCCAGAGGACAAGATTGTGGAAACAAGAAGGTTGATTCTGGATTTAGTAGAGAAAAGAAAAATTTCAGCACGGGAGTTAGCAACTGTAGCAGGAAAAATTCAATCATTAAGCCGGGCATTTGCACATACAAAAGTGTGTTGTCTAGTTTTTATACAATAATAGATGCAGCAAACAGAAGGTTTTGGCAATGGGACTTTCCAGTAAAACTAACAGAGCAAGCAAAAGAGGATGCAAGATGGTTGGCCCAAAATTTAAGGACAAAAAATGGCCGACCAGCCTGGAAACCATCAAAAGTAAACCAGATTTTTGTGGATGCATCCACAATAGGATGGTCAGCAGTATTCAGGGATCATCGAGCATTCAAAAATTGGAGCTCAAAGATGTCACACAGAGATATAACCAGACTAGAAGCAGAAGCAGCAATTTTAGGTATAAAGTCATTTGCAAGTTTATTAGAGCATTCTTGGATAGATCTGCATATAGACAATCGGGGTGCTATCAGTACAGTAGTAAAGGGAGGCAGTCTCCCATGGCAAAAGGAAGTGTTAAGAAGATTATGGGTATTACTAGACAGATGGGATATTTGGATCAGCGAAGTTTTTTGGATCCCATCAGAGTTCAATCCAGCAGATCTCTTAACCAGATATGTGGATACAGACGACTGGGGTCTAGCTCAAGTAGCATTCAATCTGTTAGAAGAAAGGTGGGGACCACACTCAATCGATCGTATGGCAAACCACCAGAATGCAAAGCTAGCTCGCTTCAACTCCAAATTTTATTGTCCAAACTCCGAAGGCATAAATTGTTTTGCACACAACTAGACAATAGAAACAACTATGTATGCCCACCATTGGCACTAATTTATCGTGTACTTCATCACATATTAGAAACAAAAGCTGTAGCAACTATAATCGTCCCAAAATAGGTCTCAGCAGTGTGGTGGCAGATGCTAATACATATGCAGAAGGAATTTTTAGTACTGCCCTCAGCACAGCTAGTCTTCATAAAGGGTCTTTCAGGAGAAGTAGAACCTTGAAAGAATCCAAGATGGCAGTTCCTAGCAGTAAGAGTAAGTTGGTAAATGACTTGCTTATTAGAGCGCAGGCTCTAGGAAGAAATTCAGTATCAAAGAGTTGGAATCAACGTTTAAACAAAGCATGGAAGTTATATGAGGAGTACTGTAGGTTTATGGGTTTGTCATCATTGCCTTCTGCAGTTGATACACTCGTTTCTTTTATTGTTTGGCTTGATTTAGTACACTCTTTCTCTAGTTGTGCAGATACCTTGGTAGCAGTATCAAGAGAGCATTTGGAACGTCAGCTGCCAGATCCATCAAAGGAATACAGAGTGAAGAGAGTTTATAAGGCGCTTCTTAAGGAGCATAGAAAAGATAGAGTTCCAGAATGGCCCCGTGACCCTCTAACAGTTGTAGCCTTAAAGCATTTTGTTGACAATAGACCACAACATCTAAATAGAGATTATTGGATTCGAGATGCTGCCTTGGTGGCAATTGGATTAAGAACAATGCGTCGCCCTGGTGAGCTATGTAAATTAAAGCTCAAGGATATTAAATTAGATGGTAAGCTTTGTTGGATCCGTATAGGGTCTTCTAAGACCGATCAATTTGCCAATGGGAGGTTTATTCCTATAGAGTTGTCAGACAGCCGTTACTGCCCAGTTAGATTGTTAAAGAATTACCTTATGATTCGACCCAAGACTACAGATGAAATGCCTCTCTTTTTGTCAAGACAAGGGAAGCAAATGACAGTAGGGGCAGTTGGAGCTATTGTTAAAAGAATTGCAGAGAATGCAGGTATGAAGGGTAAATTCACAGCTCATAGTATTAGAATTGGTGGTGCAACGGCTGCTATGGAGGCAGGCTTTTCATTAACACAAATCCGCACAATAGGCGGATAGGACAGTAAAGCTATCATGTTGTATTTGAGATCCGTAGGAACTGCCAAACTACGGATCTCTAGAAAGATGGGTTTTTGCTAGAGCGATCCTCTTTTTATTCCCATATGTTCTTCATTTTGTTTAATAAAGTCATCTGACCGAGCAATAATAATGAAAAGCCCGTCAACAAAGTGACGGGGCGATCATTATTGCGAGATCAGATGACTTTATGGATCTCATATGCATTTTGTTTTAGCCATTTATGGCAGTTGAAATAAATTCCGGGTTTTTTTGTTAATGCAGGTTTTTTCTGGTTGTTGTTTTAATTGCATATGATTGTTCGTGTTGTTCATGAGTAGAGAAGTAAGAAAGTGGCTAAGTATGATCTGAGAATGTTTCGAATATTCATGAGAAGGTATTTAGGGATAATTGGGCTGTTTAGAAGTTTGTATCTTTCTTTTCGCTATCGCTCGCCTCATAGTGAAGGCCGGCTCTTTCTCCCACCCTCTCCCGCCCAACTTGCAATAATTTCGTAAGATACAAATGGGAGTTTGAGCGATACTGGTAAGTATTATAGGCTCCACGGCTGCAATGGGCAGTGCAAGGACCTTATTTTAGTAGTTGGGCTCAACACACCCACATAGGTTGATGGGGCTCTGCAGCTGTATTATCAGTGCAAAGACCCCTATGCCTCTCTTGAATGGTATAATCATTACAGGCCGATTCTCTTTTTAGCTATGTTTTTCCCTCTTTGTGGACTATTTTCTTGTGAAAATAGCTAGGTCAGTTAGGATTAACTCAGAATCGTTTCCGGGAAGTTTGATTAGTAGGAAGGATTAGGGTTGGGCTGTTTGGCATTAATTTAGGTTTCTAAGTGTAGGATTTCTAAAGACATGTAGAGCTTTAGAGATAGCGAAGGGATTCCCATATGTTCTTCATTTTGTTTAATAAAGTCATCTGACCGAGCAATAATAATATTAATAAAGTTTGAGTTATACAAGCAAATACCATTATAAACAATATAAAATATCATGTGTTCTCGAATCTTCATGTTCAATAAACAGGAAATAAAATAAATAATACATCAATATCACATGACAAAAAATATCTTAAGTTCATTTCTATTTACTTTGCATAGTGCAACACTAAAACTTGACTAGGACAGGCTCAAAGCTCTAATCGTTTATTTAAAAATACGTACGTACGTAGTATAACTTACTTCATATAATCTAAACACTATTATATGTTTAAGATAATGTATGGGATACTTACGTCCAAACAATTAATAATTTCCTTAACAATCAATAATTTTTTTAATCGACTATAAATTATTTTCATAAGACCAATTAAAGACATACGATTAAGTGATGATAATATTCCAGTAAAATTTTTTATTAATATTTTGTAATTTGCTTTTCGAACAAACTTCAATGCCAAATTAAAATTAAATAATTATCTAAGTAAGCAAACATGTAGAATTAACGTTATTGCCTGAATTTCAAAATTTTATTTATTTTATTTTCGCATCTAGCTTTTTTATCATTATTCGCAGTAATTTTTCTTTGACATAAATTATCTGGTGTCTAAACGTTTTGATTTTTTACGTAGTTATGATAGTTTCTTTGAGGCTTTGGAAATAAAATCATTTTAAACGTACGTAATTGTTTCTTATTTCGCACGTAATATAATGCTAAGAAATTACAATGATTAACTTTAATACTGATATTAATGGAAATTTGTGCTCAAAAGCCCTTAAAATTCGTGAAATCCATTACCTTTAAGCATCTAAATTACTTCTTTTAATGAATAATTGTTTCAGACTGTCAACTGTTTTTTTATGGTTAACGAAATTAATTATGGTGGCTGAATCTGGAAATTTAATCCATTTTATTAAAATTTTTGGGATGTAATTTTTTTTATTTTTTGCAATGGTTGGATTGAAATTTAGAGTCGTACTTGTTATAAAAGTCTATAAGTTGGTTTAATAAATTTTATAAATCTATATAGAGATCTTTAATTTCAGTTCAGTCCAACATCAATTTTTTGCAGTTGACAAATAGTGCACAAAATTAGGGCATTATGTGTCTTGATAATTTTTCAGTTATATTTCTATTAAATGAATTTTGGAACCTCTAGTCAGAGATATGGGTCTTTGCCTTGAAAATCACCTTTCGACATTTCTGATCGGGTAAATTCGGACAAAACAAATCCGTATATTAGTTCGCGTTTATATCTGAATCTCTTTTTACCTTTATGATTCGAAACTTTATTCTATAAACTATTGAACTATAAAGACAAAAGTGGGTTTACATATAAACGTGAACTAATACGCGGCTTTGTTTTTGTCTGAATTAGCCCGATCGGAATTGTCGGAAGGTGATTTTCAAGGCAAAGACTCTTATATAAAACAGCTCTTTCATTATTTTACATATGTAATATATTTTAATAATATTATACCATATTATTTAACAAATAGCATAAATAACGGAAAATTTCCAATTATTAAAAATTATGCCAGAATTTTTTTAATTAATCGGAATCTCCGATAGATTTTGTGCACTGTTGAATTTATTGATGAAATTATTTGAATTCATTATAACTAAATATATTGAACAGTGCAGCTATTTTGAGGCTCAAATAAATACGAAATATTTGATGATTAAATTCTTTCAAAAGAACGGTAATTTAAATTCCATGTATAGGAATCATATCAGTCACACGATTTGTTACATGTAAATTTATATATATATAAAATTATAAAAAAAACATATAAAATTACTATAAACTTTGATTCTGT